GACAGGTCCAAAAGAGAACGAAGGGCATACAGGGCAGCACTGTTGCAGCACAATAACAGAACAATCCAGGAAGCATTTAACAGCAGAACGTCAAACCCTTCTTTACATCACCTCTGCAACGCGGCTCTGCCGAACACGCATGAGGGGCAACGCCGGAGCTGCCCAGCGACATCGGAAGGGAAAAAGCAATCTGCTCTCTTCCACCTGTCTGCCGCCTCTGAAACACTGCTAGCGCACGCAGGGAGCACTCCTTTCCTTAAATTCAGAGCAACTGAAGGTTAGGACGCTGTTAACAGCCCACAGCACAGTCAGATGCACAGCAGGAGGAAAAAATCACAGCAGATGAGAAGGCAGGGGTCCAGCAGTCCTCTGGCTCCACTTACTGAGAAACACACCGACTCCAGTACATGTCACCATCCCCCTCGCACTCACGGTGCGTTTACCATGGCAGTTGATAAAAAGACCACAGACTGACAAAGAGATCATAATTACGGACACAAACAAAGGGGTAGTAGAAGTAGGCTTTATGAAAGTATTGAAATTTTGTGGCAAATCTCTGCATCAACATGGGCAGGGAGGCAACTCAATGCTTCGCAGCAGCAATTTCAGTTACCAAACTATTCTTGGATAGACATTTATTACAGGTAGTGTATCTGTTCCTATTTCTCAAAGAGTTTAAGGCACAAAAGCCTGGAAAGGGCTTATAACACGTACATAAGTGCTATTATTTTCGCTTTCACCTCTAACGCAACATAATATTAGCTTAAATATATTGCTTGTCCATCCAGCTTATACAATATCCAGTAGAAAACTGCTTTCCAGGTTAGCAACAATTTGTTGCACAATATATCAATTAGATTGCTCTGACCCGTTTTTGCTGCCAGATCTTCAGTTTCACCACATCCACTCTGACAGGACAGTGGAAGACGCTATGGAATCTCAACATCTTAATGAGACTGTCAGGGTGTGTCCACAAGGAAAAAAAAGGCATGATACACAAAATAACATCTAAACAAGGTTGCTGGTAAAAGTGTTTTGAACTGCTTGAGTGATGGGGAATTATTTCCTCATCACAGGTGGAGAAGTGCAAGCCAAACGTGCGAGAGGTCATCCGTCCGTAGGAGTTTAGCAACGCTCCTTTCTGTCTTTACTCTCCAAAATGCTCTTCAAGTAGATGGCTCAAGAACACCGAGCTACAAACTTGCTAGCTCAAGGCCACAGCTTAGGTCAAGTGGAACATGAGCTTCCATCTACGTGGTTCTTTCCCATACTCAAGTTACAGCAACCTCACCCAGTCACTAGAAGGCTTTTGAGACATTTTAGTGGTATCCAGCAATGATTTTTAAAAAGAACACATTCATGAGAGTTGGATCAAATGACTGAAGACAATGAAATGGGCAGCAAAACAGAAAGATGGGCAGGAACCAAAATGCAAAGGGTAATTTTACTTAAAAGACCAACTTTTTTATTGTATGTTGGAGTAGAGTCTTTCCCCTGTGCCATCTTGATGAAAGTTCATAAATTACAATTCCCAAGAAGTATTAAGAGTTCATCTCAAGACAAAAGGAATAAAACCGTTGCAGTTCTAACTTTCACCATGAACAGAAGTTACCACGATGCTCCTATGATACTCATTGTGTACAGGAGAGGCCACGGTCCTCCTGTACTTCGAGTAGCAGACCTGGGTGGAGGAAGGGCCACCCCTCACTCCTGCAGGATCCAGGTGCAGCGTAACAGTCCGGAGCGCGCTGGCGGGTTCGTCACACGGACACAGCGCTTGCAGTTCTAACTTTCACCATGAACAGAAGTTACCACGATGCTCCTATGATACTCATTGTGTACAGGAGAGGCCACGGTCCTCCTGTACTTCGAGTAGCAGACCTGGGTGGAGGAAGGGCCACCCCTCACTCCTGCAGGATCCAGGTGCAGCGTAACAGTCCGGAGCGCGCTGGCGGGTTCGTCACACGGACACAGCGCCTCAGCAACAAGGCTATAACACGGCAGGAATCTCTGAGGAGACAGTGTCCAAAGGCTGCCAATGACAGTCCATCAAGGCGTCGTAGAGCTCTTCGCTCTGTTCCATAAACTGTTTGTTTGCTTCGTGGACATCTAGCTGAGGCGTCGGATCTAGAGGAGGAAAGACAGACAGACAAATAGGTCACACGCCAAACGCATTAGGGAAAAAACCCACACCCCATAAATACGTTAGTTTTATTAAAACAAACATGGGGGGAGTCACAAAATGTTCCCAGCACTTTCCCGGTCGTGAACCTGACCAGATCAGCCCTAGTAAACCTTTCTGCAGTGGGATCAGAGCTAACTACATCCAGACATGTCCCTCTTTCCAGTGGCGATTGCCCCCACAGCAGAGCCAACAGAGAGAACGCATACCTGCACCTCGCAGCCCAGGGTAGCCACTTAAACTGCCAACGAAGGTGGGCTGGCACTAAGGCACCGGACTGCAAAGTGGAGGAGCGGGGGCGCGGGCACACGTTCCGATCTGCTCCCTCCACTGCGGGGCCAGAGTGGATGGCTGGGGACGCTGCTGCAACAAGAGTCACCAGAGCTCGTCTGCCAAAGCCTCGAACATCTCAAAGCATTTCACAGTTAGTAACCACAGAGGTGCCAGCGACACCCAGGGAAGTACCTGTGGGCATGGCCCCTACTTTACAGTCGGAAGAAAGGTTTGTAAAGCGTTTTGGAGCTGGGGAGCAACCCAGGTGGGTGCAATCCTCCTGCTCTCAACACACACGTAACGTTTCCCAAAAATCGACTCATGGTATTCCCCAAACCACTCGCAGGATGCAACGATGTGAAGCTCACCCAACAACACCCGCCATCTAAAGCTCAGCCAGAGTAGAAAACCACACTGGTTTGCACGCGGCTATTGGAGCGCAAAGCAACTGGCCAGCTGAACGGAGAAACTACAAACTGGGAATAAAATGTGTGCAAACGTGTTGGCTTTTAGCTACATCGGGCTGTGATGAATCACAGGAGAACAGAATTAAGAAAAAGGAACGACACTGGCAAAACATTATTTCAGTTTCCTCTAGATTTCAACTTAATAATTCGATCAAAAAGACACCCCAGAGATGTTCTAACCATAGCACTGGTGTGGCAGTTTCAGAGAAAGGAAAGTTCTCCTGCAACACCTTTAAAAGCCATGAAGGGCTTTCCCGTTGACATCATTACTGATTCCTATGGATTCTGTAGAGGATCCAGCTGCTTTCTACTGTTACCATGTGACTTTTAAATTTTTTAGAAGAATAAGACATGCTATATAGTGCGTATTCCACTCCAGATAAAACTTTGGAACTGCTAATATAAAATTATTTTTTCTTGCATCACTAAATGAAAACTGCTTGTTCGTGTATCTAAAACCCAACATGGTTTAGTGGCCCATTTCAAGCAATGACTGCAGAAGCAAATATTTTATTGGAATGCTGACTGATATTATTTCTTTTTGGAACTAAAAGCACAGTGAAGCATGCTGGGCTTTAAATGCCAAGATTTTACAGAAAAACAGAATATCTACATTGTTTTTGTAGCATACCAGAAAAAATACTAAAAAAGGATAAAAGTTTGAGTACTACAGAAGATTAAAATCTCAGTGCTAGTGAAGCCAATTAGTTCCAGTCCTGACAAGGCTCAGACCAGGAACAGCAACTGTAAAATAAGGATGCAATTGCGCTCGGTGATAGTGACCCGCAACTTTCCTCAGATTTACTCAAAGATTAAGGAATATTACACACTGAAAGTAAGGGCCAGTTTGAGAGAGACTCTAATGAGTGCAGAGCAAATAGACAGCTTCAGTACAGGATTCAAGAAACTTACCTTCCAATGCATCCTCACCGACTTCTTCATATGTCTGCAAGGAAAAAACCCAACACATTAGGAAAGCAGATATTTCTCTTTTGTTTTACAGACACCCACCTGTTCATCAGTACTGTCATACACTGACTGCTACATCTGACTGATTGCAACGGAATTCTTCACACACAAGCCCCTTGTTCCACTCCCAACAGGCTCCACGGGGTAGACCCCACACTAAACTTTTAACAGAAGCAGCAGTTCTTGAAATTCCTGTGGTGAAGCTGGGTGCCTGATCTGTTTTATCCTCTAAAACAAGGCTTACGAAGGATCCCGGAACGCAGTCTTAGCAATGCCTGCCCAACTGCCCCTATCGAGAGAACCCTTCTACCACAGCAACTGTGTTAGGGGACCCTTGGCGCCATCCACATCTTTCCACCCCTCTCCAGCCCCAGCAACACCCCCCCACCCAAGGCAAGAGTACACGCCACGCTCTGCTGAACAGTTTTGCTTCCTCAGGAAGTAGCTATGGCAAGACCCCAGTGCCTGAGGATAAAACATGCCCACCATTTTTTTGTAAGCTACCTCGTGTTTCTGTGCTGACAGCTCACTGAAGAGCGAGCGTGTCCTACCTGCATGGTGCTCTGCGTGTATCCGTACTGGGGATAGCTGTAGCTGTAACTGCCCGTGTTCTGGTCGTAGCCCCACTGGGCATAGTAGTTGTGATATTGTTGGTAATATTGGTTATAATTATAGTTGTACATCTGATTGTACTCCATTGGTTTCACGCGATTACTTCAAAAAATAAAGCAGGAATAAGTTGCAAATAATGCAGAATAATTATGAAAAAAAAGCAGTGAAATAGCTCAAGATACAATATGGTATATAGACAAGGCTTAGTCTGACATGCAAATTTCAGTCTTTTAAAAAATATTCACTATTTACTGTAGCAGTATTTATCATTTGCATACACTTGCAGAAAGAAAGAAGTGGTTTAAATTTAACACCCTTTCCCGTATTCATATTCATCTTCATTAATAAACATTGCTTTAATTCTTTTTGAGTTAATTTAGTATCACTTCCTGGCTTTGGGAAGGGAAGAGTCCAGGACTACGAGCCTCAGTACAGAACAGTCCTGAACTGTGACGCAGATTCTTGGGTTTCTTTTCCCTTCTGATAAATAGGATGAAGTTAAGTACTCTGCAGCTTTCTCAGACAAGGTACTGAGTCTTGCTTTACTTGAAGAGTTAAAGACTTGCAGCCTTGCAAAAGAACTGGGGTTTTCTTTAGTGAGAACGGATAAAAACCTCTCCCTTCTACCACTATCATACGGAAGCCTAAAAAATGACTTGTTGTCCCCATTCCCACTGAACTGGTGGTCTTCAATGCACAGAGTGGGAAGAGCTCATGAAGCAAAAGAGGACTACAAGTAATCAAAAAATTAAACTTAAATAGTCTGCAAGCTGACTAAAATCGGTAGCATTCCCAAAGAACTGGGAATCCCACCTGATTATCAAGATTTTAAACAATGAGATGACAAATATCGTTTGAAAATGAAAATATGTCACACACAAAGCTATGCCTAATGATGAAATCAGTGAGAAGTAGGAAGAGGGAAACATCAGTCTTCTCACCATGACACACCCCTTTTTTCTGCTTTTCTCTTCCTTATCCCCCCAAGACTTCTGAGGTCACTGAAAATCTAAATATTATTCAAATAGGGAGCAATTACTATTATTCGTATTACCCTAGTGCTACGAGCCCCAAGTCAGACCAGGATCTCATTGTATCAGGTTCTGAACAAACACAGAAAAAAAAGTTAATCCCTGCCCCAAAAGACTTATATTTAGTAGACATTAAAATAGAATTAGCAAGGTCATTGAGCTTCACTTCTAGAAATCAAAAAGCAAATTTAGACTATTTCAATTCAATGCAAAGAAACATACACTTCAAAAAGAATCATATTTAAATACAGTGTGTGCACACGTGTGTGTATTTAATAACATATACGATTAAAAACAGCGTAAAATGCTTACTCTTGATCTAATGTTATAATTTATTTGAATTCCTGTGCATTCTCTAGCTACTTTACTACATTCGTGGGTATTCCTTCACTTTGTGATGGAAACATCCAGGAAATACACCCAAATCCCTAAAAGATATTTAAAAACACATGTGATTTCACGTCAGGGTGTTCTTACACAAGCGTTTGGCTGCTGGTATACTCACGCTTTTGGTATAGCCACACTCAAGCGTACGGGTTTAGAGCCCAACCCCACAGCTCCTTGGCACTCTGTCAGTGCCCTTTTCTGTTCCAGTTCATCCGTGAACTTCACGAACCCGTAACCTCTGCAGAGAGACAGAGTAACTCACATGAAACAAAGCCGAAAAAGCCACGCTGCTTTTTAAAAAAATATTTACAGCAAAGTCAGAATTGGTTTGGGAAATCACAGCAAGTGAAACACCTTCGCTTGGCCTGTCCCTGCTTTTAGCAGAGATTAAGTGATGGCGTCTTCCAGTTGCTCTGTATTATTTGCAAAATGCTTTGAAACTGTACAGTGGATTCCAGGAATAGGGAGTGAGCTGACACAGGATGTGTGGAAAGGCAGGAACGGACAGCAGCAAAGCCTCAAATCTATACTGGGAGGATGCAGATAATCTAAACAGTTGCAAGTCAGCACAGGATTGACAAGACATAGGCAACGTTTGTATCTCAAACTGTCCTGCTGTGAAGGAAAACTGCTTTTCTCTAGGATCTTCCAGTTCCAACCCCCCTGCCATGGGCCAGGACACCCTCCACTACACCAGGTTGCTCAAAGCCTCATCCAGCCTGGCCTTGAACACTTCCAGGGATGGGGCAGCCACAACTTCTCTGGGCAACCTGTTCCAGTGCCTCACCACCCTCAGAGTGAAAATTTCTTCCTTAGATCCCATCGAAATCTCCCCTCTTTCAGTTTAAAGCCATTTCCCCGTGTCCTATCACTGCATGCCCTTGTAAAACTCCTCTCCAAGCCCAAAGGTCCTTTGCGTGGGATTCTGACGCTGCAGTGAGTCAGACGCAATGCAACAGCATCCCAGAGGGCAGTGCCAGGATCCCGAGATGGGATGGGCTGCCTCGCGCAGCAGAAAGATCAAAGACTTCGGTGTGGGAGTGAAAGAGGAATCCATCTAGGCGAAGGAAGGAGTTTGGGAGGGAAAGGGCTTGTCTACTTGGGGAAAAGAACGAGCCGTAAGCAAGGGTGTAAATCTACAGCATATTATCCATTCTGTGGGAACTCTTAAACACCCAGTAGCACGCTACTTTGAAAGCTGCATCACCCAGTACTCGCAGTAGGCCCACACTGGACGCGATTACAGAGCAGCTGGTGCCTCATCAAACGCCGTGTCTTGCACAGCAAGCTATACACACAACTCCAAAAATATATTTTTATACATATATGCATGTATGTAGGTCTACTCCTCACAGAGCGAAGGCCAAATCAAAGCTCAGGCTTATCCATACACAAACTGGATAATTAAGTGGGAGCAAAACTCTACACGGGTGCACACTCTGTTTAACTGCCCGTGGCAGGAGGGTTGGAACTAGGTGATCTTTCAAGTCCCTTCCAACCCAAAGCATCCCATGATAAGTTGCCCTCTGTAAAAGGACTGTGGCAAATTAAACCCGTGCAAGTCAACTTTTAAGTCAGTTTAAGGTGTTCACACATAAAAGCGTGTAAGTTTCTAAGCTGCTACACAGAGTCCTGCAGCCTTTCGGGTGGGACCAAGAGTGTGCGAGTGAAACAGGGAATATTGGCAGTTCCAAGATAGTGATGGACAGATAAAGAGTAGGATGTAGAGTATAGGAATAGCTGTCAGGTGCAGCAAGGGAGACAGTGATTCTTCCAACTTTTCTAGACTTTCCAGATTTCAACTTTTCTAGATTTTCACACCGATGGCTAAACCAGATTTTAGTCCAGAAGAAAACCCACCACGAAATTGGTTCTTTGTGGCCAGGACCATCCTGGCAGACTTTCTGTCCTGTCCCTGCAGTTAGGACTAGCCTCCCAGCCTGCAGCCTCAGCAGAAAGCAAAGACATAGGCACAGCACCACGGCATCGGGCTCCAAGCTCCTGTCTTGCCTCGACAAGAGGTGCTGGGAGGAGGCCTTCCTGATACACCAGCCCCAGCTGGAAGGGCCAGGACTTTGCTAGGCACGTCCACAAGCCCCAGGTTCCTCTCTCGCATCACATTAACGCTTGCAGTTGCCTCAGCTTTGAGTAACTGCACAAGTCACAACAAAGCCCCTGGCAGCAACACCCCGGCACTGCGAGGGGAGGTAGCTGTGCCCTTCCCAGCAACAGCTACCTTGAAGCTACCTTGAAGTCCCTGCTCCTTCCCCGCTTCCCAAGCTACCTCAGATTCCCTTTCCCTGAGGTGTGCACTTATGAACAGTTCCCAAAGCCCAACTAATGGCCCAACCTGCATCCCCCAACATCTATTTTGCAGGCAGAGACTGAAGCAGGCACAGCAAAACAGGAACTGCTGGGTTCACACCTGAGCAGGCAGGGCAGCGAGGAGGAGGAGGAGGCACCCAGAGCCCACTCTGGCATTGCTGGTGTCAGGTGAGGTGGCAGTAACTGCATCGACACGTAAGAGCCAGAGAGTGACTGAGCAGCTCTACAAGAGGTTCAGGTTGTACGTGAAGAAACCTCCTTACTAAGGAGGTAATGCAGCACTGGAGCAGGCTGCCCAGACAGGTTGTACTATCTCCATCCCGGGAGGAGTTCCAGGCTACACAATTCATGGCTGACGTGATCTAGCATAGGCAGCAGTCCTGCTCAGAGTGGAGTGTTGGACCAGAGACCTCCAGAGGTTCCTTCAAACCAACACGTGTAAGACTGGGAAATCTTACGTGAGAAAGAGAGGGGATCCACAGCCATGTTCTAAGTCTGGTCACAACATTCTCATGGGTATTATATCAGAATATTGCACCCCACTGAAGCCATTTTCTGTTTTGAAAACAAGGCTGCTGATCAACTGGTCCCTCTTCTAGGAAAACACACTTTCATTTTCTGCTATTTCTGAAACATTTTAATAAGATGAAGAAAACGGACTTTTGACATGTTTCTGGTGAGACTCTTCCAGTAAAGATGAACAAGGCGGCTGCTAAGTACCTGACGACAATGAATCATAGCTTTATTTGCCCTACCCTCTTTGAAACAAAACCTGTAAAGCTTTCACAGGAATAGACACTCAAGAGCCTAAAGACTGTAAAAGCACAACTCCATCTGAAAGGCCAGCGAGACGGCGTTTCAAGACGACTTAGACATTTTTCAGCACTTGCAGAAGGGCAATAACACACTTCCAACACACAGAGAGCATCGTGCTGACAGAGGAGTGACAATACGCCGTGGTGGCTATCAAAACCCCACCACACTGTCGACTGAATATCCAAGAATATTGTGTTTTTAGATAACTAAAATCTAAACTGATAGAACTACTCTTTTTCCCTTGCTGTGTTATATCTTTTCTGCCATTGCATGTGAAGTGAAAGAAAAGAATGAATAAAAGATGACTTACTTGGATACT